TTTGTATTTTGTTAGTTATTAATTCATTTTATTTTAAAATCAAACATTGCAATGAATGTCTCTAAATGATAATTTATTTCATTCCATGCAATTTGTCAATCTTTATTCTATAATGTATATTTGATTTATTTTTTAAACCAATTTATTTTGTTATATACAAATATCATTGTTTATATATCTGATTCCCAGAGGGAATATTTTTTATGGATAAGAAATAGTCGAAATAACTTTTTCAACGGATGATTGTTAATTTCGAGGTTTCTTTTTTAATTAAAGAATTTTCCCTAACATTCATTAATTCGAAGCAAATTAATTAAATTTCAATTAATGGATCACATTTTAACTTTTGTTTTTGATTCATATTTTCCACAATTTACGACAACGTGTAAGCGACACAGTACCAATTTTGGGCGCTGGGGTGCTAATCATTCCCCACGTGTAACCTACTCCCGAACCCGTTTTAAATAAATCTTTGGTAAATGCAGACCATTTTTGTCTTAAAAAACGATTTTCCTTAAAATTGTTTAACAAACATTTTTAGGTATTCGACCTACCTAATCCAAAGGTCGATGGTGACTCCTTTTTCAATTTAATCCAAATCAATCCAAAATCACCAATTTTTTCAAAATTAAAGTCATAATCGTTTTGTTAAAATAATATTTAATTGTTTTATAAAAAAATGGTTGACATTCATGTTTCTCCATAATACATAATTTTAATGCATGGGTTTGTTGATGTGATATTTTACTTGCATTTTGTAGAGAAGAGATTGGTTATCATGGCTGGAGGATGGATTTTGTCGGAGGATTTTGGGGTGGTTATGTGAAGGACTACTTGGATGCGAGTGAACCTTACTTTGCTGTGGGTGAATATTGGGATTCTCTTAGTTACACATACAATGAAATGGACCACAATCAAGATGCCCATCGGCAGAGAATTATCGACTGGATCAATGCTACTAATGGAACTGCTGGTGCATTTGATGTCACAACCAAGGGAATTCTTCATTCGGTATTGCACCTATATGGCATGCGTGATATCCTGCTATCATTTGTATCATTTAAACATATAAGAGGTCGAGAAACTCAGAGAAATGATCTTTTATTTTTCCTAACTGGCGCTTCCTCGTCCTCGTTTGCCCTTAGCAATTATTTCTAGCTATTTCTTTCCTGAAGTAGTAACGCACCGGAAATATTTACGGATAATTGTTTCACTCAGGCTCTGGAAAGACGTGAATATTGGAGATTATCGTATCAGAAAGGGAAGCCTTCTGGGGTTGTTGGATGGTGGCCAATTCACGCCGTTACCTTTATAGAGAATCATGACACTGGTTCCACACAGGTTTTACTCTCACTCAAGTCTTTCACTCTTCCTCTGAAGTAATCCAAAGAATATATGATACATGCAAAATCAAGTGCATGTTATAATAACACGTTCCTTGAAACTGAGGCTTGATGAAATTGTTGAAGTTCTGTCTTCCTCTTGTCTCATATATATTCACTGCAATTTTACTTCGAAGGAGAAAGAACCTTGAAGTTCAAACTTTGAAGTTAAAATTGTCAAGGCGGAGAGGGATGTGTATGCAGCCATCATCGACGAAAAAGTTGCGATGAAGATCAGACCGAGTTATTACGAGCCTCCGAGTGGTCCTCAAAGATGGTCTGTAGCCCTTGAAGGGAAAGATGTTCCGCCCAAAATATAAAATTGACAGGCTGCAGGAGAGTCTTGGCCCCTAGACGTTCCGCCCCTGACAGTGACTCATTTTCCTGTCGAACAGCCTAATCCCAGCCGACGAAAACTTGCATTCTCTTCAAGAGAGAAATGCCAATTTTGTTTTTGTCACATGGAAATTTGTCTGGTTGGCTCCCTCCAAAATATTACTTTTTTTAATTATAATCTTACATTTTGTGTTATCCATCATTACGGGTATTACAATATGATTTAGAGATTTCCAATGAAACTGTTAGTGAAAAAACAGTTCACGGTCGATATTTAAATGATATTAAATAAAGCCTATCAAATAACTTTAATAGATTTAGGGATTTTCTAATGAAACGGTTAGTGATATGTATGCAGAATGTGTATTGTTTAAAAGATAGATTTGGGTCAATAAATTTTATGTCTAAATTATAAGTAGGGTATACATAGAGATAAACCCACCCCCTAAACCGAGGGGGCGGATGAGGAGAGTCGCCTCTCTTGAGAATTTAAAATTACTATACATTTTAGATTTTTCTAAGTATTTTCTATTATAATAAATATGTTTTTGTCTCTTTGAACTTTTATAAGTTCAAATTCGCCCCCTAACATAAAGTTCTGCGTTGATCCCTTACTTAATAAGTCAGAAAAAATAGTAGGGACCTTACAATTAGGGATGTAGCAACTTCCATTTAGTCCCTTAAGAAATTGTAAAATTATCAATTAATCCAATAATGAAATTGTACTTTGACTTCGAAAAACATATGATTTCGATTTTAACCCCTAAAAAATCATGGCATAATATAGACACTTCATCTTTGTCTTTGGCTGATGTTGTGAGCATCGACAGGTTTTGTCCGATACAACATCAGACAAATCTCAACAGCAAAGGAACATAACCAAGTTAAAAAAAAAACAAGTTGCCGCGCCTCTTTATATAATCTAAACCACCACTTTTCAGTTTCTCATCGTCCACCACCCTGCACAAACCAAAAATCGATCATCCCATAGGCTCCCTCAATTTTTCGAGTTTTTTACATCCATGGAACTCGTCACCGCAAAATCTGAATCGAGCCCCGCAAGAACTCGGTCGTTTTCCGTCAAAGGCGACGCCATCGACACGAAGTGCATCAAGCGACGCCAAGAGATCACTCCAATGGTGCACCAGGCTGCAATAATCAGCAGCCACAAGGTGATCAACCTACTGCAACTACAGTGAAGAGAAGTTCAAGATTCAGGGGTGTCAGCAGGTTTGTAAAATACACTTCTTCTTCTTCGTGCTTTGAACATGTAACGGTGCGGCTGATTATTATGTGCCGAAACAGACATCGATGGACCGGAAGATTCGAAGCTCACTTATGGGATAAAGCTTCATGGAATCCAACACAGAGGAAGAAAGGAAAACAAGGTATTTTAGAGTTTTCGAGTCCGGTTTCTCGTCGGATGCATACACATATTTTGCTAATGCCATGATTGTTTAACGTGACATCTGGTTGAACCTTGGATGAATTTTGCTGGATGGAACAGTTTATCTCGGTGAGTCCTTAATTTTGGAGCTCCATTTTGTTTTTTTTTGGAGAAAATTAAATGGAAAACCGGCTATCTTTTGATACTTTTGGTATCTTATTAGGAGCTTATGATGAAGAAGAATCTGCAGCTAGAGTCTATGATTTGGCTGCAATCAAATACTGGGGAATATCAACTTTCACAAATTTTCCTGTAAAATTACCGTCTTTGCTGATCTGAGAGTTCCTTTCATTTCTTTGATGCCATGAAAATGTCTAATACAAATTATTTTCCAGATATCTGATTATCAGAAAGAGGTTGAGATGATGAGAAGTGTGACAAAAGAGGAATACTTAGCCTCTTTAAGAAGGTAATTTTCCTTCCCACCATGCAAAACACCACATTATATTATTCAGACTAGAGTATGAGAATCGGATATGGATATCCCAAAGCTCCATTTTTGAATATTACACACAAATACTTCACCAAAAATGAGAAGTTCGATTCTTTGGTATATTTAATCATGGGTTTTATAGGAGAAGCTGTGGGTTCTCAAGGGGAGTTTCCAGGTACAGAGGAGTAGCAAGGTAAGCATATAAGGAGACAGAATTTAACCATTTGCTTTTTATCAAAATGTTTGAAAAATAATGGAACATTAATTGAGATATTTGGCTTGATGATTGCAGGCATCATCATAGTGGGAGATGGGAGGCAAGAATAGGCAGGGTTTTTGGAAATAAATATCTTTATCTTGGTACATACAGTGGGTTCTTTTTTCGCTTTTTTTTTTAACTTTGGACACTAAATTTCGTCCGGAGTCAATCTCGAGTCTAAGTTCGAGCTAGATCTAGAATAATGAACTCTAGATGAAGTCTGATGGCACGGTCTCTTATTGCAGGTACACAAGAGGAGGCTGCACATGCTTATGATATTGCGGCAATTGAATATAGAGGGATCAATGCAGTAACCAACTTTGATTTAAGCACATACATCAGATGGCTTAAACCAGGAGCCAATGATGCCCTTGTTTCGGATCAAATTAAGACAACCTCAGCGTCTAAGCTGCCGGCGCCAGCATCAAACTTTTTCCTGACCGAGCAACCTCTCTTTAACACCAATGCCTTGATAGCTGAACCCATAGATATCCGAAAGAAGGCCGTCGTTAGTCATTGTCCCAATTCATCATCAGCTCCCTCGACGGCACTGAGTCTCCTCCTTAGGTCTTCGAAGTTTAACAAACTAGTCGAGCAGAACTTGAATGCAAACTACGACAAAAACAAAGAGAACGGCACAAAGGGGATGGCCGAGGTAGAAGTTGAAAATGTCCCTATTACATGCTCCGGCAACAGAAGTGTACTGTCTGGTTTAGAATCCGGAGAGAGTAAGCTTTCATTATATGATGAAAGAGGGCAGTCCATGTGGAACGGTGCCTTAAATCTTTTAACTTAACCGCCATTGATTGTTCCGAAAATAAGTAGGTTTTTATAATGTTGACATAATGAATCCTTGCAGTTGGTGACACACCAGTCCCCATGAAGAACGATTTAACTTTATTTTATTTTAACAATCATAAATTGGAATCGTCCTTAGAACGTGTCTGATAGGGGTATATTTAATATAAACATACGATTATACCCGTGACCGAATATGTATCGAACACGAGAAATTTACCGGAAGTCGGAAGAATAAAAAACACATAATCAGGCTAAACTGAATCGACTGCTTGATATGCAAGGTTTAGAGTTAAATAAACAATGTAAAAAATAGTTCTGCCATTTAGCCAACTAAAACTCCTGTACTTGAAACAGTTGTTTTATTGATATGTGTACCTTGCTCTCTAGCATAACACCTTTAAGAAATTAACCCCAGAAAATAAAAGGAAAAAAAAGTAGATATTAAAGCCATAATAATGGCCTGCCCCAAACCAATAATGAAATTGCAATCCACAACAGTTTTCTACATAGTACACTACGTTAAAAGTTAAAACTTAGGGGACGCTTATGAATCAATCCTCTGCAGCCTTCTTGACTCTTCTTCTAAATTATCGATACCATCTTGCACGATAGGTTCTCGGACTGAACCTTTCGTACTCTCAGAAAAAATATCTGAAAAAGTCTTTCAGACCCTGAAACAAACCAGGTAAGACAATATGCATGTCAAAATTTGGACATGGTAGTTATCAGTTTATATTCCAGCTAGTGATAAGTAACCCAGAATAGTTTGCGAATCAAAATTTTGGCAGCAGAGGTGAAGTTGATCTATGAAAGATTAAGCTATCACATTTAAACTAATATTGATACCTGGTCAATGCACACTTCATTCAAACACAAAAGGTTTATGTACAATAAGGATGTGAATGTGTAGCTGTGAGAGCATAAGAAATTAAAACTTTATGTATGAACACTTAAAGATACCTTTGTAGTGGGAGTTCCCGAATGTGTGAGTAAAGAACGAGATTTCCCAGAAAGTTGAAGTTGCGCCTGCAAGAAAATGTCGAATCAGAAACTAAGATTATAGTCATACGAACATCAAGATGGACCGACCTAGGTTATAATGTAGTGCAGAAACGGGGATCATATAAAAATGTGATGGAGTGAAAATATAATCATACTGCAAACTCAAAAGGTGCAAACAAACTAAAAGGACATCTTCAGACTGGTACCAACCTGCAAGGCTTCGGGCATCTTTGCTTTTTTGCCACCAACCACGTTACAAAGGTACAAAACACCAGCATTGGCAAGATCCTGCCACAGAAGAAAAGTGTGTAAATTCTGTTGAATAAAATCAATAAAGAAACTACACAGCCAAAAATATAATTCACTCTTAAATGTGCAAGAAACTAAATATCATATTCTTTTCATCAGTGCCACAACCAGTCCTTACTTCAATGATCACAGGGCAAGGGAGCAATGGGGATCAGTCAAACAATGCAATTTTGCGCCCAGAAAAACACATTCAAATTATAGAGCAAAGTAGAAGAAAAGGAAAAAAAATATATTTACCTGCTTATATTCCAATGAACCTATTTTTCCATCCTGCAAGTGAGCAAAGGTGGAAAAGAAAAACAGATCAGACATACGTGTATATATATACTATGACCTCCAGGAACAAGATAAAGAAACGGAAAAGAATCAGCAATGCTCCTTTATGTTTCTGGAGAACCCCGTTTCATTAGTAAGATGAATATCTCTTGACGTGAGGCAAAACGAAAGAACAAAAGAAGAGACACAACCACTGTAAGTGAGCAAAGGTGGAAAAGCAAAACAAATCAGGTACATGTATACATATATACACTATGACCTCCAGGAACAAGATAAAGAAACGGAAAAGAATCAGCAATGCTCCTTATGTATCCGGAGAACATGTTTCATTAGTAAATTAAACATCTCTTGACGTGAGGCAAAATGAAAGAACAAAAGAAGAGACAGAACCACTGTAGTGCCATAAAACAACAGCTTCTCAATAACATAACTGCAAAATTCATTAGAGGAGAAAAAAGATTTCTCACCAGACCAGAAATCATTCTCTGCAGTGCATCCAAATCATATTCAATGTTGGAAAGATTCATATGAGCCTCTTCTACCTGTTGATGTATATGAACAACATTAGAGCAGTAAACTATTATTTCTTTTGATCGATCCAATTTGATCTCTAAGCATATTAACCACAAGCCCAAAAGCAAAGAGCAAATAAACGCACGATATGGTTGATATTTTAACATCAAGTTCAAATGTTCCAAACCCACATTATTATTATTGAAATCATTGCAGATTCATCTCCACAATGAGAACCAAGAAGCATTTGAAACAATCATGTGTGACATACTCTATTCACTCTTTTCTTAAAACTAAAATTCATAAGGAATGCAACAAGAAACAAGCAGCGAAGTGGGGGTCTTATTCAACGAGGTCGTGTTGCATATGATATTTACTCCCTACAAAGATTAGGTGAAAGAAAAGGATAACATGCACTTACACTTTCTTGAATGTTCTTTGAGATTTCCTTCTGTGTTTCCATTTTATCATCCAGATTCTGAATCCGTTGGGTCAAATGCTTCTTTGCAGCCTGACCAAATAAAATTTGCAAACTAATGAAAAACAGGATCTATATTACTTAGTGCGCGCGCCATTTATTACAACCAATGAATTTAAAAACCAACTAGGTTATATCATATTTTTGAATATGCACATGATATTGATTATGGAAAACATTTGGTCCACAGAAACATGCTCAATGAAAACGAAATGCTAAGAAAACTGTAACAAGAGAACATACAGAGAGAGCATCAGACACAGAATCCAGATGTTTTGTTAAGTTCTCCACAGCCAAAGCCATATTGCGTTTTGTTACCCAAAATAGATCACAGAACGAAATGCCCTTGTAATTAGAAGGGAAAAAAAACGAAAACAAAATATAATTAACTCTATATAGAACTAAAAAAGAAAAGAAATATATTAAGAATTCATGGGAAAAAATGCCAATCTATCTCTAATGAGAATACCTTCCACCACATGTAACCATAACCCAATGCCCCCAATGTAGCAGCTGGGACTACCATAGACGTTAAGTTAACTGCCAAATTAGATAAAATGCAAACAACTAAGCAAATTCACTTATTTTCTACTTCTAAAGCTTAAAAAACTACTATTTAATCAAATAAAATTAAAAATACCGCCGGAATCCCCATTTAGAACAGTTATCTGCCGTGCTGAGGCTAGTTGCCTAATCTCCATTGATAAGCGACGAACCTACAGATTAATTAATACAACAAGAAAAAAAAATCAAAATTACAACCAAAAGGTTTCAAATTTAAGCTCTATTTAATCATATACCTGAGCCAGAAGGGCCTCTGAATCATCTGATTTGTCCCCAGATTTTTCAAGTCCTTTCACCAGTGACTACCGGATTACAAAAAAAGAAAAGAAAAGAAAATTGTTAAAATGCCCTAAGTTAGCGATAAAAAAAAGGACCAATACTTCAATGAGATTGCAAGGAGAACCTGACTAATTGAAATAAATGCAAAACGGTAGAAACGAACCTGCAATTCACCTAACAAGTCTGATAATTTACCATTCTTGAAAAGAACCGTACCAGTGTAACCTGACGATAAAAAGATTAAGAAACAAGAAAAGTAAAAATTGAAACATAACAACAACCAAGAATAGCATCGTAGTAAGATAGTCAATTCGAACAGTACCTGCGCCGGCTAGGATCAAAATCTTCGAAAATCCGACTCCAGTTTGGATCGCCATGGCGGAGATTCGATTACCAAAGAGAGTTTGGTTTTTCTTTTTTTGTTTTTTGTTTGGTTGAAAAAGGAGACGATTGTTTTTTCTTTGTGTTTGTGTGCGTGCGCGTGCGCGTGCGCGTGCGTGCGTGTTGTGTGTGTGTGTGTGTGTGTTGGGGGTGGGCGGAAGAAGAGGAAGTGACGGTGGATTAGCTTGGCTGATGTTGAGGACAAGTTTGTTTTCCACCTTGTTTGTCACTCTCAAACGACGACGCTTCAAATCTAATAGTCATACCTAGACATAAGATTAATATAGCTATTTTTTTTTATTTGATAAATTTTTGTTGAATATAAGATGGTCTCAATTATAAAATAATTGTCCAAACTATAACGATTTTCATAAATAAATTTTTAAACTATTTTTTGAATAATTTGGTGTCTAACGTTGTAAACGTTACCAATTTAGGTAGTCAGACAGTAACCGGCGCTAATTTCATATGTTAAGTAACTCTTGTATTTTTTAAAATTTTATTTAAATTGAAAAATTAAAATTATGTTTGAAAAGAAAACATAAATTTTGAAATAGCCCCAAAACTTTCAAAATCTTTATTTTAACCACTAAACCCACACCTCGTCATGCCACCCATCACCATTACCCGTCGATGAATCTCCACTCGACCTCACCTCCCCTACGATCAAAACCCTATGAAATTACGATCGATCGATGTTTTATACCCAGTGAACTCTATTATGAAAATCGCAACCCCACACGATTTCGAAGGTCGATCGAGACAAATACATATAACTAGGAGGATGGCAGAGACTACGTTGATGACGGTGGTTGTGGGCGAAGAGGGCGACAACAGTTGATTAAAGTTAGGATTTGGGGATTTTGGGGTTTTTGTAATTTAAAATAAATTATGATTTTTATAATATATCATATTTTTAACATTTAAAAAAATAAATCTCAAAATTACTATAATGTAACATATGTCACTTATCGGAGGAAAGTAACACCGTTTTCGACCAGAGCGCTTAAAGTGATAATGTTTGTAACATTAAACATTGATCATTCAAAAAAATAGTTTATACACATATTTGTGAAAAATGATATAGTTTAAGCACTTATTTTATAATTAAGCCTAAAAGATAATACATGTTTAAAGATTTTTAATCATTTAATAATGATATTCATATTCTTACACATGCAATACTCAAACTCAGGATTTTAATTGATAATAATAATTCTTTAATCATTTAGATCATTTTTTATTAAAATAATGTGATTATAAAGTAATATATATTCGTAATCCTCTCAATCATTTAACAATGAACGTTTAATCACTCTAATGTAATTATTAGTGTTGGAACCCGATAAGAGTGAGACCACTTAATCTACCTATAAATTTTAAAGTTATTTAAATAAAAAAGGGTTTTCACATGCAAAATTTAAATTTTAGTTATGATTTCAATAAATTTAGTATGCATTTAAATTATAATTGATTAAATTGTCAAATATGACAAGCTTTGATCCCATTCGATTTTATAAAATTATTATTTTTTAAAATAAACTGAATCTGAATTTATAATGAAAAGCCTTTTCCATCATAAATAATAAATATAGAGAGAGGGTTATTGTATTATCAGGGGTTGTTTGTTTGATTCTTAATAGAATCATTCAGTGCTGAATGTTGAACGGTTCAACATTCAGCGCGTTAGTTTCGCACATCTGAATGATTCAGTGTTGAATGATTCAGCACAGAAGTACATTCTGAATGATTCAGAGTCATTATCAAACAACATGTCACATTCAGAGCTAATTCATACAGAGCCTTTGAATCATTCAACATTTGAATCATTCATCGTTGAATCATTCTGAAGTAAACAAACAACCATTTACTCTATGTATATGTTTAAGGTGTAAGAACAATTAGTTCACTGTTAATTAGGGATGGTTGTTTAATAGAGTTAAATCGAGTAAAAAAATTGGAGTTATTCGAGCTGACGAATCTTATTTTATAACTAAAATTTTTCGAGTCTAAATGAGTTTATAAAGTTTTATTGAAATTTTGTTTAAATATAATTATAAATATTTATAACATTATGATACTATTTGGATTCTAATTTGAATGATTTTTATAATCATATAACATATATATATATATTCGTATATTTTCATATGTAATATACATATAATATCATATATAATTGAGAGACTCGACTTAAATTTAAAAATCAATCTATTAATTATTAAAAGTTTTGAGTTATTTAAGTTATTATTTTATTTAAATTTATTTTTTAAATCAAAACAAATTAATTTAAATTAAATTAAAAAAATAAATTTTTTCGAATCTAATTTTATCTATTCATATTTATATTAGACCGCTCGTGTCCACATGCTTTGTTGATAAGACTAAAATTTTACAGCCGACATCAAGAGTTTAATTATGCAACTCTCTTTTTCTTAATTCTAATGAACATTATAGAGAAACTAATTAAATTACGTTTTCTTATTCTTTTCATATATAGTAAAAAAATAGTTATGTACAGCTTTAATATACGAAAGACACTACAATAAATATTAATATTTTTTAAAATATTTTCGGTAAACCGTTATTTAAAACATTATTTATTGTTATCGGAAATGTTAATTTTATTAATTAATTTTCGATAAAACTCAATATTAACATTTTCAGTAGAAAAAATAATGTTTTAGGTAACGTTTTACCGAAAATATTAAATATTTTAGATAACGTCTAATATTAACATTTTCGATAGAAAAATAATATTTCAAGTAACACTTTAACAGAAATATTAAAAAAATATTAATATTTTCGATAACATCTTTCTTTAATCGTATGTTAATTACAGGAGAAATAAAAAAAATTACACGTGGGAATATTTATGCATGCCGTAGTTTCGCTATCAACTTGGCAGCCAAGGGCCCCACTCAATAAAATAAGAATAATTAATAGGACTTTTAATTAAAAAATAGATAAAAAAGCCTAAATAACACAAACTTGCACTCGACTTTCTTCTTACTCTTATTTTGGTAACTCAAGTTTAAAACAAGGTTTTCACCTCCTTCCTAGAATCCTGAACTTCAAGCCCATATCCATGCTCTCTCTACCATATTCCCTAATTTAATCGATCGATGGATTAAATATCTTAGAACCTACATGTAAAAAACAACGATTAGTTAAACCTCTTGGTAACAGTGATGGTATATTCTTAGAGAAGATATTTGAAGTTTAAGTTTAATTTTTTTATGTTATTCTTATAATTATTTTCTTATATAAAATTTATTTTATTAAAAAATATTTTATTAGGTTATGTCATGACATCGTTATAAGTTAATGGCATAATGCTAAAAAATTCAATGCATACAATTCAGTAATCAAATTGAAATATTTTAAATTTCAGTGACTAAAATAGGATTAGAAAGAAAATTAAGAAATGATTTGTGTAGTTTATACGAAATATAATGCCTAACCATTAAGTTGAGCTAATCCTTTGTTGCCTTTCTTTTTAATGTTACAATTAAGAAAAGTATATAAAATCTTCATTTGGGATCAATTGGTTTATAATTAATTGATAAAATTTTCCGTTTGTTTCCTGAGCAAATCTCGGGAAGGAAAACTTATTTTTTATTTTCTCCGTTGTTAACTCGTGATTGTGAAGCTTTCTTTTAGAGAATCAGAGAGTTAACTCGCGGCGCTTACTCTGTATGAACGTCCTTTTGTTCCCTTTTCTTGTTCTTTGATTTCCATTTCTAGAATTATATTCTTTTTTTTTGCTTGTTTTTCTTTAATTTTGCTAAGATTTGTGTATGGTAATTACATATCTAAGGAAAATTATAGGTTTGATTGCTAAGATATGTTGAAGCTTCTTTTATCATTGTTGTCATAGTTATGGATCTTAGGTTAGGATTGTTTTCTCTTGACAAGTTAGATTTGTGTTTTTAGCTTATTTTCATGAGTAGATTTTAACTTTCTATGAGTAGATTTTCCGGCTTTTGTGTGCTAGCCTGCTAGGTGTTAATTTGTTCTAATAATTCTAGAAAATTATTGATTTATAATCTTAGTTTCATGTTTAATGGTTGTGATTTGCTGGATCATTGTTCTGAACAGAATTTAAAAGCAAGAGTGTGTTTTCTGTCATCTTTTGTCCTTTTCTTTCAATTGCTTCATCTTTAAGCAATTCTCCTTCTCCTTTTTCTATGTTATTAGTATGAAAATCGATGTTTCCCAGCTATTAGTGATTGTGATTCTAAGTTGTAAATGTTTAATTAGAACCATGGGATGTAAACTAAATAACTAGAATCTATGGGATTGGAATGAGTTGCTTCTTGCTGTGCAGATCTTGATTTAGTGGGTATATGCTTGCTGCTCAAAGTAAATATTGAGGTTTGAATGTCAATCTGCATATAAAGTTACAGAACTGATGTTCAAAACTTGGTTTACTTGTAGAAGTCTGATTTTATTCCGTTTTCTTCCTGTTTATGTTGGCTTTTATCGTTCACTTTTTGCATATTTGCATTGATTTTGGATTGGCTTCCCTTAAATCTGCAGGTGAAGGTGAGGATGTCTACTCCTGCAAGGAAGAGACTGATGAGGGATTTTAAGAGGTTGCAGCAAGATCCTCCTGCCGGAATTAGTGGTGCTCCTCAAGATAACAACATTATGCACTGGAATGCTGTTATATTTGGGTATATGATAAAATAAGAATGGAGCATCTTTATCTTTTAGTTAAGATTCAATAGCATGTGCTAATGTCTATACTTTGATGAATTTGCAGGCCTGATGACACCCCATGGGATGGAGGTAATGTAAATTCCGGTGCATAATTTTGTTTGAAGTATCAGTTTGTCTATGGTTCTTTGGCGGGTTTGTTTGGTTGTCTCTTTAAAAGATTTCTATGTTAATCTATCTAATCGGAGACAATTCCTCTATAATTCTATTGTCCCATAATGATGTTATCAGTTTCCCATATATAAATTGGTTAAATGCTTCCTCTGAATGACTTTCTGAATGATGAATTTGTTATGTTTGGCCCAAGGATATAATTAGATATTCTGTGAATTGTTTGAGCTGGTACTTAATGCAAAAGGCTGAAGGTTGGATTTGTTCAAAGGGGAGTGACATTTTTAATTGCCTTCTAGACTTATTTTTCATGTGAATAAGTTAAGCAGAAGTGGAACAATCTTTTCATGGACTAGAGCCTTAGGAAATCTTTAAATTCAACGAGCGTATGATTTTGGTAAGAATGTTCTTCAGAAGACGACCAGAAGACCTCTACATTTGGATGGAAAATCGTCATGCTTATTTCTGATGTGGATTTTAGTTTGAATAGTAGAATTTTAGGATTATATAAGCTATAACTTTGAATATTTTTCCCCAATATAATGTAGGTAAACTGCTAACAACTATAAATTAATAATATCTGTTTGACAATTTTGAGTCTTTTAGGTACGTTTAAGCTGACTCTTCAGTTTATGGAGGATTATCCAAACAAGCCACCAACGGTTCGTTTTGTATCTCGAATGTTCCATCCAAATAGTAAGCCTCTAGACAAGTCTTCTTTTTTCTGGATCCACTTTTTCAATTATTGTTGCATGCCATGCAAGCTTTGATGCTTTTTATTACTAGCTTCAACTTTTTATACATCTGTGCAAGATAAATTTATCCTTTCTTGCATTTTAGGTGTACCACGTAGGGTGCAACTATAGCAGTTGTGCTTATGTCATTCATCATGCCTTTAAGTTTTATTAACTATATTTCTGAATGAGAAGATCTAATACTCAGAAAGAGCTTGATACTTGTGGTTTCTGAATGAGTAGACCCCTACTATGAAAGCGGGTGCTCAAGGTGGATTACATATTTGTTTATGAATCTCCAAACATGAGGTAATGAATGTTTAGGAAACACAAGGCCATCATTTTCTTGTTGTTTGTGTCATAAGCACCTAGCCATCCACACAACCAAAGCTTTGAAGCTGATGTTACTTGGCAAATTTACATGTTCGGCTTCAGTTTCTGGTTCTCATCATTTGATAACTATATTATATTTTATTTGTTATTATGATATAAGATTTCTCTTTGTGCTCTTGTATATTTTGGTAATCAACAGATTTAGCCATTCTTAATCTGATCCGTATTGTATCTTGCTAATTTGTCAGTATATGCTGATGGAAGCATCTGTTTGGACATTCTACAAAATCAATGGAGTCCAATTTATGATGTAGCTGCAATACTGACATCTATTCAGGTACGATTCAATTTCTTCATCTTTTCATTTGTGGCTATCTAAGGGCCACGGAATAAAACATTATTAAGTCCAATTCCCTCTGTCATGGTATATGCTTTGAAACAACCTGCCTAATATTGTAAACTTCCGTATGAAAGATGTGGAAGTGAAAACATCAATTACCCTTGCAAAGTTCCAAGGACAACCAGCTACTGGTACTCATCATTCATGTGAAGGATCCAGACCTTTAATACTTTGCATGCATCATTTATGGTATTACTTAGCATTGACTTTTAATACTTTGCATGCATCATTTACGATATTGCTTAGCATTAACCTCCTGTGTGTGTAATACACACATAGAACATATAGAGATTGGGCTTCTGGTTAAACAGTTGGAGGGAAAAGAGGTAACTTTTCTTATGAACACGTCAGTACCTCTAAATTAAGAATCCTTGGTTCTAATCCTGATAGGTTGTTATAAAACTGTGGTACTCATGCATTTAACATGTATGCCACTTATGGTCATCTCTCTCTTAGACTTGTTTTAAGCCTGCTCTTATCTTGTGTGTGCAGTCATTGCTTTGCGATCCAAATCCAAACTCCCCTGCGAATTCCGAAGCTGCTCGGATGTTTAGTGAGAACAAGCGTGAATATAATAGGAGAGTACGTGAGGTCGTTGAGCAGAGTTGGACCGCTGACTAATATCTCATGTCGGACTCCATTGTAAGAACAAAGTGTGACGACAATAGGAGAGTATGCGAGACTGCTGATGGATGGCTCGAGATTTGGTTTCTATGGAACGTCAAAAATAGTCCTACTGGCCTGTCTAAATAACATTGAAAATGTGTTTAAACTGTTTTGGATTTGTTAGTTGTTTGTGTTATGAAAATGAATGCTTCTCCTTGGGCAGCACTTTCATCAAGTACTCAAAGCATAAATAAACCATAAGTCGATAAACCGAGCTTTGAAACTTGCATTTGGAGACTTCTTGATGATGATTTGCGTAAATAAAAGTGGAACAGTTAAGTTTACTTTTGGGCACTGCTCTTCAAAAAATTTTGGGCTGTAATCGTTTTATAGGTCCTACTTTTAAAACTAGACAAATTAAGGCCCCAATTTTTTGGTTCAATTTCTTTTTAGTTCCTTAGTTTTGAAACAGGGCAAATAGATCCTGACCTACCATCTTTTGGTTTAAATATTTGACCCTAATTCTTAATTTTAAAATTTTAAAAAGATGCTTTAACAATTAGATTTTAATTAATATTTTATTATTTTTCATACTAAATGTTACGATTACAGCTCTATACGAAAAATGTTTTTCACCGTTTGACCATTACGATGTTGACTGTTATAGGAGATCAATTTTCCCAAGCACCCCAATGCCGAAAACTATGGCGAATCTCCGGTATATCTCTTTCGGTAGAGCGGCTGCAAAGATGGGAAGGATATGAAATTTCGTAAGAAAAAGCTGGAAGAAATATGCAACTGAAATTTGGTAAGAGTTGGGACGTAGTTTAAGTGTGTTTCTCTTGTAATTTCATGTTTAAGTTTTTAGGACATTATGAGTAAGTTTTTAGTTCAAGAAGAAAGCATGGCAAATAAGCAATGGCATCAGTAACTGCAGCAATGAAAACCAATGTTCACCTACCATTCACGTGAATGAAGATAGGAGTAAGTAAAGTGGGGCACTACCATATTTCTGGTACTCGTATGAATGCAAATCGTCTGTTACCTGACCTTATATTAAAATTGTTATCATTCTAAAATCATGAAGTTTCATTGATGGAAATGTTATTCGTTGGAAGGCTCGCCGGGCATTATA